TTCAAGAGCCCGTCACATCTAATTTTTATATATTCAATTCATTTGAAAAATGTTTATATTAAAAATGGTTTCAAAATGATGCCTCAAATTACCACCATAATATTGTTTGAGAGCGCTCAAAATATTAAAAAACTTCTATAAAGCCACAAGAAACATTAAAAAGAAATATAAAATCTAGTCCCAAAAGGCCAACTGAATCACCCACATCATTTGGCCAGTAAGTTCTGGTGTAGAATCTGGGACCTGAGTCCTCAGAGTCCAAGTTTTCTGCTTTATCCATTGGGTTCCAGATTTACCAGGGTGTGATTATCAATTGCCAAGCGTGGCTTATCAGTGAGATGTCTTATTTAGAATAGTGGTTTGAAAACTTGTTCATATCTTGTACTGACTTATTTAATTATATGAATTCAGAACAGTTTTACTAGGAAAAAAACCACAGTGCAAGAAACTCGTGCTGTTCACAGGTAAAGCTTTCCATGGCAGTCTGGAAGGTCCACAGTGTAGCTAGTTGGGTGGCAGTGAGGACACACACTCCCAGCTGAGAGGGGGTGTGTGAGACCAGGTCAAGCCTACGGAAGGAGTTGTGAACTTGTATTTCACTCATCATAATTCAGGAAGTGAGGTCACTCACTCTGATCAGAAAGATACCTGTGGCTGCTGGCAATGGAAGGGAAGAGATGGTTGAATAATGATATGAGCAAATCCAGTGTATGCAGAGGACCAGGGACCCCAGACCGAGAGCCAGTCAGGAGAAGCCAGTCACTGTGGGGGCTGGGCAGGCCCTCTGCAGCAGGTGCTGTTGCCTTGTCGGGACTGGCACCTTCTGTCACTTGGTTTTAGATTTTTCTGAAGAAGTCATACATTTGAGCTTTTATGCGAAAAATTCCGATTTTTAAACAATGGTTTAAGTATCTGATTGGTTGAGTCCTGTTCTGTGAAATATGTAAGCTGGAGGCTGGTGGGCAGTGTGGGTGGATGGGTTAGAGGAGAGAATCTTGGTTGAGAATAATGACATAGAAAATTGGATGGGTAGGAGGTGCCCTTGAAAGTGAGAAGGAGGACTTGAACTTGATGTCATAACCATCACCATCAAACCACTTAATGCTGAACTTCCTATGCAGTGCATAGAGTGCTAAGCAGTTTATGCATGCAGCCTTATTTATTAAACTCCCCCAAATCCCATAAGGTGGACTATAAATGCGGTCTGGGGAACACTGTGTATAACATCTTTGCATTTTTCTTGGTCGATCCTATGTAGACGAGGTGGGCAAAAAGTTGATGGTGTGGTCAGGTCCCTAATTTGATCAGCTGCAGGGGTTTGTTTTTATTTTAAACTCAGCGTGAAGGTATGCTGTGCCAAGTTTAAATTTAGTTTGCCAGTTTAGTTATTACTGTATTTTAGAAGTTAACCAAACACAGAAGTAGGAAACCATGAGCACAGTTTCCCTGGTAGACCCTTTTTGGTGTTTAACAGGCTATTTTGTTCTTATGGCAACTGAAGTGTTTCACTGCAGTTGTGGATTTTCTCTGTGACTTCTCATCACCCTTTCAGAGAGGAAACCTGGCCAACTGGTTCCCCCAATGCATGGGCCAGTTTTCCTCAGCCCAGTAGTGGGTGGCAGCAGTGGCGATGGGCAGCTGCCCGGAGCTGCCTTTCACCTTAGCCAGACCTTGGCCAGACTTTGGGCTAGATAGAGAGCTGCAGGATGGTGCCTGGACTCAGGCTGAAGCGCCAGGCTACATCTGTCATTGACTTGATAGTTGGTGCGTGGTATTGCATAGGTTACTGATGGTTAGCGTGTGGTGTCCCATAGCTTACTGTCAGAGCACACTACCCCTCCGTTTTTAACTCTGTCTTCTATAGAGTATGTGCTGGAGAGGCAGGCCAAGGTTGGGGTAGACAGCTGAAGTTTGTTGAACACCTCCTGCATACCCAGGGGTGAGCTGGGGCCTTCTGTTGGGTTATTACTGCTTCTCAGTTTCACAGCACCTCTATAAGGTACATACGGCTACTTCACCTCTTCTAGACAGTTCTGGGGAAGAAGCCAGGCTGGAAGTGTGGCCTGGCAACTCCAGGAATCCTGGTTTCTGCTGCTTGGATGCCTCTGCTTGCAGGGTTCCCTTGGGTCAGCCACACGGAAAGCAACAGATTAAGTTGTGTCTTTTGCGTTGTAGGATTGTACAGATTAAAACCATCTTCACAGTATGTTGATTTTAACCTGTTGGGAGAGAAAGTAATAATCTGAAATATTCAAACATAGGCATATTATGTAGGCTTTTAAATTCACATAATTTAAAAACAGAAACTAGAGACGTGAAAGAAATTCCCTTCTCAGAGCAGGCTGTTTAGGGGTAGCGGTTCACTTTCCTTTGTTGCTTCCTGGGATGGTTGGAGAGGCACCCACTTCCCCTCCCCAGGGTTGTGTGGAGGCCTTGAGCCCTGTCCACCTGCAAAGGCTGAACAAGAGGCTGTAGTTGGGGAATCGTTGTTCTCATTAATTTTTTAATTGAAGTATGATGAATGTCTAAATGGAAATGGAGCATGAATTTCCAATGAATTAGGACCTAGTAAAGCATGCCTCATTAGAACCAAATTGACATGCTTCTGAAGCCACTTTTTATTTATTTTGAGACAGAGTCTTGCCCCAGCAGGAGTACAGTGACATCACAATAGCTCACTACAACCTCAAACTCCTGGGCTCCAGCGATCCTCCTGTCTCAGCCTCCAAGTAGCTGGGACTATAGGTGTGCATCATTAACACTGGGCTAGTTTTTTAGTAGAGATGGAGTCTTTCTCTTGCTCAGGCTGGTCTCTAACTTCTGACCTCAAGCAGTCCTCCTGCCTCAGCCTCCCAGAGTGCTAGGATTATAGGCGTGAGCCACTGAGGCCAGCTTAAAATCACTTTTTGATGAATGGTCTAACTACAAGCTCCTTGCTCAATGTGTGCAGGGACAGTTGGGCTGGAAGTTACTTCTTTGAATGATTTTCTTTCATCCCTTCCATTTTCTCCTGTTTTTCTTAGAGATGAGTTTTTCCTTTTTTTTTTTTTTAAACTGAATTTGCAAAATGCTTTTATATCTGCTAAGGGTTGTTGGTCTGTGCTGAGTGTACTAGCATAGCTCTGACATTTACGCGCAGTTTTAGTTTCTTCCCAAAGTTGTAATTTCAGAAAATCCACCATTATGCGTCTGTCCAAAAGCAAAGGATCCTGGTCTTTGTTTCGCACAATCTGGGGTCAGTCAGAGGTTTTCAAAGCAGCCTGTGTGCTGCACAGTACAAATTGTAGTTGTTCCTCCCGCGCTCACCTGCCCCAGCTGTGAAGGGGAGGCCGTTGTTTTCAAGAAAAGTCTTCAGTTTTAAGACTGACAAGAATGTGAGGATTTGCCAAGCATTCCCCATGAAGGGAATGGCCCCACTTAGATGTCAGAGCCAGAGAACTGTAGGGGAATTTATCCAGTCCACCAGTGGTCTGATTACAGAGCAGCATAAAAGAGAAATGTGGTGTGTGCTTGGCAGCCAGGCCTCAGCAGCCCAATTTATCAGGCCAGAGCAGCTTGCTTGTTCCTTTCCAGCATCAGAGCTTTTCTGCCTTGGGATTATGACGCATGCTCTGATGGGTAGGAAATGACCTTCCTTTGCAGATGGCCAAAACATCATTTTATTACATATTAATCCCATTGTTCAAGAGTGAAGCCAGCTAAACTCCGTCGTTAAGCTGTTTCAAAAATACCCACACGTTCTTCTGGGCCAAGAAATCATATGACATGAAGATGCTCTGCTGGCTTCCTGCACCTTGGCCTTCTATGGCGTTACTCTGCACATTGGCGGCCACAGCAGAACTTCGGCTGGGGTGTATTTTGAGCTCTGAGCTGAGGAAGGAGTTTGCTTCTGCGTGTTGGCACCCAGCAGGCCATCCATCCTTTGCCTTTTAAAAGCAAACCAAAAATAGACACAAATCTGTTGAACTAGGCAAGAAAGTCTCTGCTTACAAACATTGGTCACTTAAAAACTTCTTCACTTTGTTCCTATAGTCACCCAAGGGCTCCGCTCACAGGTGCCCCCAGACTTTACTCAAGCCAGGGGAGGACATCTGGGCTGGGAAAGCAGCTAGG